CAGATCCCCGACCCCACGGACCCCATCCCCGTGGACCCCTGTCCCCGCAGACCCCTGTCCCCACAGATCCCCATCCCATGGTCCCCATCCCCACGGACCACCATCCCCACAGATCCCCGTCCCCAGGGACCTCCATCCCCTTGGGTCCCCATCTCCAGGAACACCGGTCCCCAGAGACCCACATCCCTAGGGGACTCTGTCCCGACGGACCCCTCTCCCCACAGACTTGCATCCCCAGGGCCCCCTATCCCCACGGATCCCTGTCCCCAGGGGGCTCTGTCCCCACAGATCCCTGTCCCCAAGGACTCAGTCTCAAAGCCTCCCTCTGCCTGAAGATCCTCATCCCCAAGGGGCTGTGTCCCAAACTAGCCCCATCTCCGAGGGTCCTCATCCCCAAGCATCCATGTCACTGAGGATCGCTTTCCCTGAGGATCCCTGTCCCCAAGGTCACCACCCTTAAGGTCTCCATTGCCAAGGGTATCACTCCCCAAGGATCCCTGTCCCCATGGATCCTCACCCCTAAGGATCCTGTCCCAAAGAACCATATTCCCAGAGGATCCTGCCCCAAAGGGTCCCTGTCCTCAAAGATCCCCATTACTAAGGATCCCCATCCCTGAGGATCCTTGCCCCGAACAGTTGCCACCTCCAAGGATCCGTGTGCCCAGAGATCCCCATCCCTGTGGATTCAGGTCACTGAGGATCCCTGTCCCTAGGGTCCCCATCCTGACAATCCCCATCCCTGCGGATCCCTGTCCCCAAGGGTCAGCACCTCCAAGGATCCCTGTTCCCAATGATCTCCATCCCTGTGGACTCAGGTCACTGAGGATCCCTTGTCCCAAAGAATCCCTGTTCCCAAGTGTCCCCATTCCGAGGATCCCTCCAATCTGTCCTGCACCCTTTCTTGTTATTTTAACTCCCTGGCAGGCAAACATACACCCCCCTTCACCCCCCACACTGCCTGCCCCAGGCAGCACCACTCTGCTGAGGTGCTGAGGCAGGCGTGGGGTGGCCACGTGTGTCCCCCGGGACCCACGCCCTGGGGACAGCCTGTGCCTTTCCAGGTGCTGCCTGTGGTTTTGGGTGCCTCATGCTGGAGTCGGGAGCCCATCCACCCCAGGATGAACCTCCACCCAGGCCATGCCCAAGTGCTTTGACACCCCCAAAGCCTTTAGCCACCCCTCTTGCCCCCCCTCAACCCTGCTCTCCCACCTAGCTGCAGCCACGGAGGGACCCGCGCCCTTCACCTGGGGTGATTTCACCCTCTCTGCTTGACATCCTGCGAAGCAACAGCATCATCCATCCCTTCGCTCGCCGGGAGCAGTCATTTCTGCCCAAGTCCCCCTGGGGACAGCGGTGGCATGGGGGAACATGTGCTGCAGGGATGCTCAGGGGTCCCTGGGCACTGGGGCTGCCGGGCTCAGCCCGTCCTATTTGCTGCCGCTCAGCGACTCAGTGGTTCTCTCCAGAGAGCTGGTGAGTCACTCTCAGGGGGTCAGATCCTTCCCTGAAGGTTTGGAGGAAAGGAAGGAAATGGAGGGGAGGTGGGCAGCGGGGCAGGGGGGGGCCCGGCAGAACGGCAGCCGTGTGCTGAGGCTGCAGCTGGTGCGGCTCACATGCACCAGCTGGTTTCCGTGAGGAAAGAGGAGAGAGAGAAATCAATTTTAAGGATGGTGCCAGTGCCAAGAAACTCATTCCTTCTCTAAAGGGCACAAAGACTGCATTTATTTATTTAAGCCTCTGGCACAGAAACACCATACTTAATTCCAGTCGGTGTCATTTCCCTGGTTGGGCTTTCATTTGTGTATAACTCAAATCGCTGCTTGGAAATGCGTTGTCTCCTTCTCTTCCAGGTGTCTTGAGCACAGATTCTGGCCACAAAACCTCTCCTGGCGCTGCCCCATCGAGCCTGGCACTTTGAGGATGAGCTGAGCAGCACAGCATGGCCCCCTGAGCCCAGCACCACGCTGCTTAATGCCCCTCAGCTCCTGCATTTTCCCTGCGCCCCATCATCTCCCCGCTGAGCTGCCACTGTGTGCCAGGGCTCCGGTCCCAAACCGCTGCTGCCAGCCAGTGTTGTTGGGTCTAGGATGGCAGGGCAGGGAGCTGGGTTTACCCAGGAGTCCTGGGGCTTAAACCTGAAATCCTGATGCAGGATTCCTTCCCTTAAACTGGGCCAGGATGAGAGAGCAGCGCCTGGGTCCCCCCTGCCCCGGTAACTGGGACACCTGGGGAAAAACTTGCAGAGAGACTGGGAGAGAAGGCACTAACTTTAATTATGTATTGTCTGTAATAAGGCTTCACTTTTCTGGAGCACATCTCAATGCTGGGCTTTAAAGAGCCTGGAGATAAGGCCAGTGCACAGCCCTTGGCTATGTCCTACCCCGGAGCAGAGCAGATTCCCTGGGGGATACCGGGCCCGGCACTGGGATGCAGCGTGGTGCTCCTTCCCAGCAGCCGGTGCCTCTGCGTACGGCTGTGGGGTGCAGGGGGTCGCTGCCAGGGAAGGGAGAACAACGCTCTTAACCGGGCTTTTGCATCAAAGAGGTTTATTCTGAGCGCTGCTAATTTCAGACTCCTCTGCTAAATCATTAATAGCTTGTCAGCCCAGGCAGAGATCCCGCAGCAGTGCGGGAGGGTTTCTGGGACTCGGACAGTGACTTACCCTGAGGTGCAGGGGCATTTCTTGTATTTTTCTATTATTTGCCTTTACCAGCCTCTGTCTGCTCATCCACTGGGATGTGTGATGGCCAGCTGGGACAGCCTGGGGACACAGCCTCTGTGGGGGACTCAGCGACACCCTCAGCCTCACTGGCCAATGTCATCAGCCCATCTGGCCCCTTCTTATTTCTTAATCCCATGTCCAGGCACATCTACTCCTTGTTTCCATTTCCTTTTGTCACCCAGGACTGGGGACTGGACCTGCAAAGATGATAAGCAGCACAGACCTGGGGGGGGTGACCCCAAAAAGCAATTATTTTATAAGCAGGTGACTGATGGAGCAGGCAACTCCAGAGGTCCCTCCAGCCTCAGCAATTCTGGGGTTTCACTTTGGGGAAAGCTCACTGCAAGACAGATCCCAGCCCTTTCCCCCTTTTGGGGTGCCTTTGGGGGTCCAGGTTCCACTGAATCATAGCAAAAAAAAATCAGAGGAGGATGTTCTGGTCAATACCTGCCTGTCCCCATAGTTTGTTTGGATTGGAGGCATAGGGAGGAAGAATGGAGCTTTGACCCTGAATGTATGATGGAGCAGAACCCCTCAAATCTCCAAACCCCATTTTATAGCAGGATTTGGATCGGATACGTGAGGACAGCTCATCCTGGACTTCAGCTTTCCTACAGCCTGAAATACAGCCTGCAGAGCTTAAGCAAATGTCATGGCTGTGTCTCTGACACCAGGCAGTGTAGATGCAGTGGGAGCCGGGGGACAGACAGACAGGGAAGGGACAAGCAGGCAGCGGGGGCCGGGAGCAGTGACGCAGCAGCCTCTGACACTGCTCCGGTGTCTGGCAGACGTGTGGCAGCGCTGGCAAGAGCAGGAATGAGACACAAAGCACAAGGGATGGGGTTATTTTTCCCCCTAAGGTAAGGAAAGCAAAGCTGCCACCAGCCCACGTAGGGTGGGGGTGACATCTACTGCAGGCCTCGACTGGAACAGATTTAGGCTGGGTTTTTTGGTTTTATTTTTTTGATTTTTTTTTTTTTGGTTTAGGCTTTTGATTCTGTCTGGGGGTGGGATGAGACCTTGACACCTGGTTCCTGTCATCCCTTTTATTCCTTCTGCTGCTCTGATGCAAAACACGAGCAGGCTTTACCCCACGCACCTACGTGAAGATGCAGCTGAGCATGACATCCCTGGCAGAAGGAACCCCAAAAACCAGGCTCTTTGTGGGGAGCAAGGTGGCAGCAGCCCCCTCCCGCTCCAGCTCCCTCTCTGTGCTGTCTTGGCCCACTCTCAGCTCTATTAACGCTGTCTTAAATGATAATGACGCTGGCAGTGATGCTGCTGTGACAGTCATGGAACCAAGGACACGCTGTCCTGGTGTCACATCTCCTGCACCCTAAGGCTGGGATACCCCAGCCCCAGCCCTGGGGAGGGGACCAGGGGCTGCCCCTGCCTTTTCCCTGCCTCAGTCAGGCAGCTGGGGCACCAGCATCTCCCAGCCAGCACCAGCAGCTACTTAAGCTGCTTCTCCCAGAGACTGCAGACATGAAACCAGATATTCCAGTAACCAGTCCCAGTCCAGCCTTTTCCCCTAACCCCTTCCCAGTAAATCCCACCAGTATCCCTTCCCAGGTCAGCCTTTCCCAGTACGCCCCCACCTCACCTTTCCCAGTAAGCCTCCCCAGCCTAAGCCTTTCCCGATAACCCCTCCAGTAACCCCCTCCTAGCCCAGCCTTTCCCAGTGACACCCCCCCCCGCCCCAGCTCCACATTTCCCAGTGACACCCCCCCCCCCCCCCCCCCCACCAAGGGAGGAGAGTTTTTGGGCATCCCGAACTGCTAATGCCACTGGGCCGGTGTCATACCGGGCCATGCCGAGCCCGGGGCTGGTACTAGTGCTGTGCTGTACCAAGCCAGGTACCGGTGCCTTACCGAGCCATATCCAGCCCGGTGCTGGTGCCATACCGAGCTGTACCCAGCCCGGGGCCGTGCCGGTGCCGTACTGAGCCGTACCCAGCCCCGTACCGGACCGAGCCGTACCCAGCCCGGTACGGGTGCCGTACCGAGCCGTACCCAGCCCGGTACCGGTGCCGTACCGAGCCGTACCCAGTGCCTTCCCGGCCATACCGAGCCCGAGCATTCCTCGTCGGGGCTGTACCGTACCGTACCGTACTGTACTGTACCGTACCGTACCGGGCCGGGGTTGCGCCTCCCCCCCCGCCCCCCGCGCTCCGTGCCGGTGCGGAGCCGGTGCCGGAGCCGCCCCCCGGCCGGGGCCGAGCCGCACGGAGCCGGGCACCGCCCCCGGGCTATATATCCCCTCCGCGGCGCTACCGGGCTCCCGTTCCCGTTCCCATGGCGGCGGCGACAGCGGCGGATCCAGGTCCGGTTGCGGGTGGCGAGCAACGCTCCGATCGCGCCGGTACCAACACCGGCACCACCACCGGCGGCAGCAGCAGCAGCAGCAGCAGCGGCGGCGGCGGGAGCAGCCCCGGGTCGGTGGAGCTGGCGGCGGCGCGGCGGCGGCTGGTGGCGGCGGAGGGGCGGCGGCGGGCGGCGGCGGAGCTGGAGGGCCGGGTCCGGCAGGTTCACTGCGCCCTGCGGCACGCCGAGCTCCGCCTGGCCGCCCGCGCCGAGGCCCTGGGCCGGCTCGGGGCCGGCGTGGCCCAGGCCCAGCTGGCGCTGGCGGCGCAGAGCCAGCGGCTGCAGAAGGGGCTTCTCCGCCGCCGCCCCCCCCGCCCCCGCCCCGCCGCCCTCTCGGCCGCCGCCCGCGCTTTCCGCAGCTGCGTCCCCTGGGCCCCCGCCCGCCCCCGCGGGACCGCGGCACCGGCCCCCGCTGCCCGCCGCCTGCCCGCCGCGCCCCGCAGCCCCGCTTAGGGCGGGGGGGGGGTCCTGCAGGAGAGGGGGGGAGCTGGGGTGGTTTGGGGAGCTGGGGGGGTCTGGGGGTCCCCGCTGGGTGTGAGGGGTCTGGGGGACCCCAGGGGATGGGGGGATCCAGCGGGGTCTGGGGTCCTTGAGAGAGTCCCGGGGGGGGGGACCCTGCAGGATCTGGGGGACCCCAGGGGATAGGGGGATCCAGCTGGGTCTGGGGTCCTTGAGGGAGTCCCAGGGGGGCATCCTGCAGGATCTGGGGGACCCCAGGGGATAGGGGGATCCAGCTGGGTCTGGGGTCCTTGAGGGAGTCCCGGGGGGGGGACCCTGCAGGATCTGGGGGACCCCAGGGGATAGGGGGATCCAGCTGGGTCTGGGGTCCTTGAGGGAGTCCCGGGGGGGGACCCTGCAGGATCTGGGGGACCCCAGGGGATAGGGGGATCCAGCTGGGTCTGGGGTCCTTGAGGGAGTCCCAGGGGGGCATCCTGCAGGATCTGGGGGACCCCAGGGGATAGGGGGATCCAGCTGGGTCTGGGGTCCTTGAGGGAGTCCCGGGGGGGGGACCCTGCAGGATCTGGGGGACCCCAGGGGATAGGGGGATCCAGCTGGGTCTGGGGTCCTTGAGGGAGTCCCAGGGGGGCATCCTGCAGGATCTGGGGGACCCCAGGGGATAGGGGGATCCAGCTGGGTCTGGGGTCCTTGAGGGAGTCCCAGGGGGGGATCCTGCAGGATCTGGGGGACCCCAGGGGATACAGGGATCCAGCGGGGTCTGGGGTCCTTGAAGGGAATCTTGGGGAGTCTGATGAGTTGGGAACATGTGGGTTTGCGGGTCCTGGGGGGAATCTCGCAGGGTATGAAGTATCTGGGGGACCCAAGGGGGTGGGGGGTACCCAGCAGGGTCTGGGGGACCCGAGGGGGTGTGGGGACCCAGCAGGGTCTGGGGCCCTTGAGGGGGATCATGGGGAGTCTGGGTTGGGGACCTGTGAGTTTGGGGGTCCTGGGGGGCTCCTGCAGGCTATGAAGTGTTTGGGGGACCCAGTCGGCTGGGGACACCCAGCAGGGTCTGGAGAATCTGAAGGGCTGGGACCCGATGGATTTGGGGGTCCCCGAGGGATCCTGCAGTGTGTGGGGGACCCAGCGGGGTCTGGGGACCTTGGGGGTGGTCTGAGGAGACTGATGGGTTGGGATCCAGCAGGTCAGAAGGGCTTAGGCATCTCTGGGGGTCCCAGGGGGATCCTGCAGGGTCTGGGGGATTCTATGAGGTGGGGGGACCCAGCAGGGTTTGGGGACCTCAGTGGTGGCCTGAGGGGTCTGATGGGGGAATACCCTGGGGTGTTTGGGGTTCTTTAGGGGGCCTTGTAGGATTGGGGCTCTCCAGGGGACTCAGCAGGGTCTGGGGTCCTTGGGGTGCCCTGAGGAGTCTGGGGGGGGATGTCCCTGGGGGACCCTAGGGGTTTGGGGTGCTTGAAAGACCCTGCAGGGTCAGGGGTCCAGGGGTCTGCAGTGAACTGGCAGACTGGGGTGGGGTGAGCAGTGAGGTTGGGAGACCCAGCGGGGTCTGGGGTCCCTGGAGGATCTTGCCAGGTCTGGGGGTGTTTATAGGGAAATCTGCTGTGCACACCCCCACCCCAGTCTGGGGTCACACCCCCCCCAAAACGCAGCAGGATCAGGGCAGCCACTGTGGGGCAGGGCCCCTTCCCTGTCCGAGCCTCACTGCCCCCCCGGGAGGGGTCCCCAAGACCCTGGGCCAGCAGGACACTGGTGGGACCGTGCCTCACGCTGGGGGCTCTGGTGCAGCCTTCACCTCCCCCGTGCAAGCCTCAGCGCGGGATCGAGCGGGCTCAGGGTCGCCCTACTTTCACCATCTCTGGACAGTGATTTTTGGCTCCAGACTGTGCACCCCCCGCGGGGGCAGAGAGCAGAAGAGGACTGGTCCTCACGACGGCACCGGAACCGCTTGCCTCCCAACAAGCTGGATTTTTTGGGACTGCTTTGACGACTGACCAAGCGGGTGACACTTGAAGCCTCCCTGTGCTTCTAGAAAGAGTCCCTTGGGCACCCCCGATGTCACCCAGCAGCGAAGCCTGTCACTGTGGGCACCGGAGGGGCGAGAAGGCACGAGGTGGCGACGGTGGGCTCAGGACAAAGCACCCCTCTCTGGGCAGAAGGTTTGTGCAGGGCCCCGGCATCGCTGTCGCCGTCGGCTGCACCGGCCCTGAGCTGGCCTCGGGACGGAGGGCTCGGACCCGACAGCATCATCCCTTCCCCGCCGGGACCTGCAAGCGGTTCAGCCGGTAAAGCCCTCCGTGAGCCCGCTCCCTCGCCGGACACAGCCGCAGCGTTCGCCGTCCCCGGGCTAACGGCACCCCTCGGCCGAGCCACCGAAACGGGGTCTCGCTTTGCTGCGCCAAGCTTTCGCAGTGGCTTTCCCCGGAGGCTGCACAAATCCCTCCCTCCTGCTGGAAAACCGTAACTCACCCCCCCCCCCCCCCACCTCCCCCCCCCTTTATTTATTTATTTATTAAATTTAAAACCCCAACTTGATTTGGGCTGGGGTGGGATGCGGGAGGGGGGTGGGGAAACTTCACTGACTCATGAATGTGCCGCGACTACCTTGGTGTGAGACAGCAGGTCTGTTGTGTAATCTTCGCTTCTCGCCTCTGCGCCGGCTGGTGCTGCCGCCGGACTCCTGCCTGCACTGCGCAGCGGGACGCGAGCAGAAGTAAACTTTGATATATTTTATTCATTCCATGCAGTGTCCTTAGGTGCTGGTTGAAATATAACCGAGAGGGTGATTAGAATGGGGATGAGCAAATAAGCCCCGGTAATGGCATGTAATTAATACCAGAGTGGATTTCTCTGATTAGTGACCTCTTCCCTCCTCTATGTGTGTGTGGACAAGGAAAATGTGTTGGGAGCTGCCTGCAGCAGAGTGTCACTGTGAGCGTCTGGGGGCTCTGACAGGCACCACAGATGTATACACACACACACACACATACACACACACACACACACACACACACACACACACATGCATGCAGACATAGTCTGCCCTGGAAAATTTGTGTAAGGTGACAAAAAAAGGTAAAACTTCCACATGAATGTGTGCAGAAAATGGGTGGCAGAGAAATATTTGAGCTACCAGCCCGACTTTACGGTCACGCGCTGGGGTGGGATGTGTCTTTCTCCTGTTAATCCCTGTTTTCAGACAGTTATTTTTGGTTTTGTGCTGCCCTACGTGGAGCTCACAGATGCTCTGACACCCTGTATCTCCTCAATGCTGCCTAATTTCTGCCTTTTCACTAAATCGTGGCCCACTGGAGGTTTTCCCACGCATGCAGAGCTGTAATCCCAACCAGGAGGTGATTCCCTGAGCCGAGTGGGGAATTTGCTGCTAATAGCAGTTTACAGGTCTGAGCCAGGAGAAGGGACACATTATCTCTCTCAGGCTTTCAATTAATAGTATGAAATGCACAGTTTGGGCTTAAATCCCTTGATGTTTTTCCCTCCCTGGTGATTATTTGCAAATCAGCTTTTGACCTGATTAGAGCAGAACCCACGTAAAGGAAATGCAGGGAAAGACCTTAAAAAAAAAAAATAAAAAATCAACTCCATTAAACTAGTAAGACCAAAATCATTCAAAACCCTTTGATGCAACGGTTCCTCCCCACCCTTCAGTCTCAGTAAGGTTACGGTCCTCACACTTTGTGTTCCTGCAGTACCTTTAGCTGGAACATGACATCCATTACAATTCACATGCATATTCCCATTTTCCTACCAGACGGGGGAGGCTGATGCAGTTAGCGAGGACGGGAAGGTTGGTGGAAAGGCAAGGAGGAGATCCCAGGTCTCCTCGCAGGTCCACCCTGCAAATAAGTGCACATTTAGCTGAAATAAGGATACCCAAGTGCCCAGGGACCGCCACACTCGGGATTTCAAAGGATGGGGAAAAGCAGCTGGGGTCCCCTCCCTCCGTCTCCTGGGGAAGGGGGATGAATGCCCCCCTGTTTGGCAGGAAGAGCCGTTAAAACTGGGCAGAAGGGTGATGGGAAAGGAGGTTGTGGGCACATGCGAGACCTGGCTTTCAGAGTGGAGGAGTAACAGCAGCTCCCCAGGCTCGCGCTGGAGCGGGATGTGATGCCTGTTTTAGGAAAAAGAATAAAAAGAAAATAAGAACTAACCCCAGAGTCCCATTACACGGGGCTGCTCGTGGCCAGGATGACACAGCCATCACCGCCTGCATCCGCACGAGTCCCTGGGCTGTGGTTTTGGGAAACATCTCTGCAGGTAAATCCTCATCCAGTGGCTTCTGCAGCAGCTCCTGCAAGACACCACCAGTCAGTCCCCAGCCCGCTGGGGCTCCCCAGAGCTGTGCTGTGGGGTGCAGCAAGCCCCGTCCCCACACCACAGGCACGGCTGCTCTGGCACACGGGTGTCCATGTTCACTTTGGGATGGACAATGTCATGCAGGGACTGGCCTGGTTTAGTTTAGTGGGTGACATCCCGCTGTGCCCCGTACAGTGCCGGAGCCCTGTGCCACCCCCAGAAAGCTCCAGCTAATACTCTCACTGGACTGCTCACACACAATGGGCACAGCAGCAAAGTCCTCCTGAAGGGTCCTGGACCTCTTCGGGGCATGAATTTTTTTGGGGAAAAAACCCCACACCACCTCCAGCACAAGGTCAGAGGGAATACACAGAGAAGCAGCCTGATCCTTCGCTGCCTGCCATCGGGAGCATCCCCTGCCCCGGGAGCTTTACATAACCCCGCTTGCCTTTCTGCCCTCCTGCCAGCAGCCAGCAATAATGTTACATAAATAGCACCAACACTTGTTGGTTTTATGAGATTATTTTGTTACAGATTTTCTGGGAAAAATAAAATACGGCATGTTAATACCCAAACCCAGCTTCTCTCCTTTCTGCTGTTAATTCCTTTGGTCTAGTCCCAACACTGGCACAAGGCTGGTGCCAGGGAGGGTGCCAGGGGTGCAGGCACCGATGGGCAGGGACAGAAACTCCCCAGCACCAAAATTCTGAGAAGAGGCTGGTGTGAGAGCGATGGGAGGAGGGGGCAGGGACGGGGGGAGAGCGAGGGAAGGGCTGGTATGAGAGCAATGTGTGTGTGTGTGGGTGTGGGGGGGGAACATGACACGACACACAGGGTGGGAGCAAAGGGGGGAGAGATGGGGACAGGGTGAGGGTGATGGGGATGGAGGGTTGGGAATGGAGGGACGGGGGTGGTGTGAAGACGATGGGGATGCAAGGACAGAGATGGGGTGAGGATGATGGGGATGGAGGGAAGGGGACGGGGTAAGGGCGATGGGGATGGAGGGAAGGGGATGGGGTGAGGGTGATGGGGATGGAGGGAAGGGGACGGGGTAAGGGCGATGGGGATGGAGGGAAGGGGATGGGGTGAGGGTGATGGGGATGGAGGGAAAGGGACAGGGTAAGGGTGATGGGGATGGAGGGAAGGGGATGGGGTGAGGGCGATGGGGATGGAGGGAAGGGGATGGGGTGAGGGTGATGGGGATGGAGGGAAGGGGACGGGGTAAGGGCGATGGGGATGGAGGGAAGGGGTGAGGGTGATGGGGATGGAGGGACAGGGACGGGGGTGAGGGCGATGGGGATGGAGGGACAAGCTGCCCCCCCGAAGGTCCCCAGGCCAGGTGCCAGGAGACGGGCCGGGGCCCCTCCGGGTGGCCGTCGCAAGAGGGCACTGCAGGAGCCGCTGCCCGCAGCTCCGCGGTGCCGGCGGGGGGGGCGCGGGCGGAGCCCGGTTCCCTCCTCCAGCCCCGGCACTGGGGATGTCTCCCCCCACCCTGCGGTCCCCAGCCAAGCCTGGCCTCACCCCCTCCAGTTCCCCCCCGCTCCCCGCAGCCCAGCGTTTCCCAGCACAGAGCTGTGTTTGCACTTAAATGACATTTCCCCCAGCCCACGACCCCCCCCCCCCTTAACCCTTTCCTCCGGGGACCACCCCCGTCTCCATTTCATGCCCTTTCCCCCCTCCAGCTTTTACTTCTTTAAGAGCCTGTTACAGCCCCAATTAGCCACAGAGAGTGGGAATTGCCTTCTTGGCCCCTGTTTTGCCCCTTCCAGCAGCTGAGCCCAGCCCGGGCTCCCCCCGAGCTTTCAGGGGGGCTGGAAGTCACTGTATGGGGACCTTGACCTCTTTCTGTCCTATGGCCAGAGCAGCCGGTGCCTGGAGGTGTCTGCAGGGGCTGGGTGTGTGACCAGGGACTACATCTGGTCTCCACATACCTGCCCAGACCACCCCCCCCCCCCCCCCCCCCCCCCCCATTGAGGATCTGAGACCCACAGTGTGTGTGTGGGTCACTGTGGGTTTGCAGCTGCCCCTGTCCCCTGGGTGAAGAGTGGTGGAGGCAGGGGGACACTGCCTGGGGCTATCTGGGTGATAAAGGCGGGCACCTCTTGTCCCCACCACCCCATCTCCCCCCGCCCCACCCACGCAGCACCCCCAGCTCAGTGCAGCCCATCCCCACGTCCCCATGCAGGGTCTTGCCCTGGTTCTGGTGGGCTTCCAGGTTTGGGGAGTCTGTTCCCACTGCGGGTGACTGCCAGGCCGGCCACCCGTGCCCCTGTGCTCGCCCCACTGTGCTAAGCATGTCTTGGGCCAGTTCTTTCTTCCCTGCTAAAGCTCTTTAAGTCACTGATCTGGTTAAACCTTAGCAATTGGTTTGTTTTGCCCTGTTAGTTAATGCGCCTCATTCCCGCCTGGCTTACTCCTGACACCCGGTCTGTGGAATCACCATGCCCACGCGAGGACGGGCACGGTCACATCGTATGTCTTCCCCTGCTCTTATCCTGGGTGATTTTTGGCAGCCCTGCATGGAGCGGGGTCACGGGCAAATCCCCTGTCTCAGCCCCAGGGGATCAGTGGTGGCGTGTGGCTTGGGCAGGACAGTGCCTGGCATCCCTTTGGACCAGGGTGCAAAGCCATGGGACAGGGTCCATCCGAACCCGGTGGGTCCCCCAGGAG